CAACAAAAGAAAACAAAACAACAACAAAATGACAGAAAACATACACAAAATAACATCAAAACCTGTAAATAGTTCAAGGACTGTTTGTTGGCATTTAGGAGCATTTTCCAGTCGAGTCTTTTGGGGTGCCAAGCCCTGGCCCCAAAGCCAATTTTTTGTATTCTCTGGGACTTCATTGTTCTGTTCCCCTTGCTGTTCTGTTGCACGCCTTTAGTGTTTTGCCTTAGTGTGGTGGGGTCAGATTGGGCGCAATTCTCACACTGTGTCTCCAGTGTTGTCCCCTGTAGGGCTATGGGTCAGTGAGGAGGCCATGTCTTGTAGTGGAGCCGGTTACATGGTCCTCTCTGTGGATTGGCTGCTCTGAGAGGGGATATCGTCCTCAAGGCTTGGTGGTCCAGGATGTGCTCCACTCTCTCTTCGTCCCCCTTCATTTGGTCCTGTGTGCTCTGAACAGACATGTCCCTCTCCCTGAGCTGCAGCTTCAGTGCTGTTCGGCATTGCCTTTTATGTGAGGAGAAATGTCAGACTCTGAGTCAGTGGTTCTCAACCTTCCTAATGCTGCGACCCTTTAATACAGTTCCTCATGTGATGACCCCCAACCATGAATTATTTTCACTGCTATTTCATAACTGTAATTTTGCCACTGTTGTGAATCGGGTGACCCTTGTGAAAGGGTCATTCAACCCCCAAAGGGGTCACGACCCACAGGTTGAGAACCACTACTCTGAGCAGTCAAGACCCACAGTCCAGATCACCAGGCAGCCAGGAGCAGAGCAAGGACGCAAAGGAATATGAATCAGTTGAAAATTTAAGATCTGCCTACCTCAAAATGGAATGGACCTTCAGCCTACTGGAAATTAAAAGAAGTAATCCAAGGGAAACTACTCAGCCCGGTTCGTGGCACTTGGTGAGACCCTCCTAAGTGTTCCTGAGCACCCTCTTCCTGCACACTTCTAGAAACCGGGGCGATTTGGACCAATTAGTGCAATCTGTCTGTTGACCTTGAGGGAAAGCTCACTCTTGCCATTCCAGTTCCTCCCTGGTCATGTTGAAATGATGATCCGCCTCCTTGATCCCTGGGGAACCACAGGAAGAGCTGGAAAGGACTGCCTGGATGAATTCATCTCACCTGGTGCCAGCGCTTTGCAGATGGAGAAACTGAGTCCCGGGAAGGAAAAGGGTCATGAAGCACACCTGTGGCTGAGTAAGGGCCCCGCCCCTACTGCCTCCCACAAAGGTGGGTGTTTACCTCAAAGTACATTCGGCTGCTGCCAGGCGAGTGAATTATCTCCTGAGAATCCATCCGTTTCCCTTGCTCTGGTGAGCACCCCAGCCCGCCCCCACACACAGAGGCATGAAGCATTCTGAACTATGAACCAGAGCATGGACCGCGTGATTTCATTCCACCTCTGCTAAAGGGCGTCAAATGCTTTGGTGAGTCGTGTGAGATTCCGAAGTGTACACTTCCTTCCCCTCCTGGTCTCAGAGAATTATTAACCAGCGCCATCTGAACCAGCTTGAGCACTCAAGAGACAAAAGGACTGGCCGGAGACATACCAGGCAGAGGGCAGAAAAAATGTCGTCAACCCAATAGGAGACTCTCCCACCCCTCTAACGCTGAGAGTTGGAAGAGGAAGGCAAGGGGTAGGGTGGGGGGTTGGGGAGGAAGGTAATATTATGTAAGGTGTGAATCAATCATGGAAAATTACAGAGTGTGTGTGTGTGTGTGTGTGTGTGTGTGTGTCACTCCGCAGGTTTCAGACGAACCCCACAGGGTATTTGTAAGACACAAAGACAGATCATTCTCGGAGAGAGGAAGAAGCAGAGGCTGAAACACTAACTTCATCCGGAGGGTGACCTGGGCTGAAGGTGCCTGCCAGTGGGTGTGGGGGTCTGGCGATCACATTCCTGGTGTTTATATCACCCTACACTTATTTCTCTCTGCCCCCGAGGCATTAATCTCCCACTAGTCCTGCCTTGAGCAGCTTGAGCGGGAGGATTTGGGGGTGGGGAGGGATGATGGACAGGAATGAGATTGGGGTCAGTCTGGGCCCTCGGAAGCAGGAATACCAGCCTCTCTCTGTGCTGTTCCTCTAACTCTCCCAGGAAAGGCTGGAATTCAGGCCGACAAGGAACCTGCGGCGGATGCCCGGGCTCTCAGCATGGGCTTGCGCAGAGCCATATAGCACCTTTATCAAATTCAAACTATCTTCCACATTCCTTCCTTACTCAGCCCAATCACACCCATGACGCAGGCCTCAGAGCAAACTCTGGCCTGGCCCTTCCTTCTAGAAAGGAAAGTCCAAGTAAGGGCAGAAGGCACGCCCGCCCGGGGGAGGGGAGAGAGGCATGACAACACCTCCAAGAATTTGGGGCCCACGCAGGTGTGTTGGCACTTACCAACTTCCTTTTGAAAAGGGTTCGGTAAGTCAGGACCCATAACAGCAATAAAACCCCACCACCCTCCTCACTCACCTCTCAGGGCAAGGCCCTGCCCACTGGAGAGAGAAAGGGGAAGAGGGCCATAGGTTCTAGTCCAAGGTCCTCCGAATGCTCCCGAGACCTCTCACTCTGGCTAGGGGATGTGCCAGGCCAGAGTTCTCATCATTCTCCCAGTTTCACACCCCTCCTCACTCTTCACGGTCACACAGGCACACAATCGTTTTCCAGAAGGGAACATGACAGGTGTGGTCACCAACACTGATGACTATGGGCCTACGTGCCTTGTTTCAAAACGTTTCTGTTTTCATCCTAACAAACACTGACAGACATCGTGCACATAAAGTATACCTATATTTTCATTTTATTGGTACGTAATCCACATAGCACAATAGTTCAATCATATGCACATAAAGTATTTGGGGGCCTTCCATAATTAGTGAGAGTATAAAAACATTTGGTCATCGCTGTTTCTAGTCCAGAGAGCTGCTGCCTTACTGGCCCGGAGGCTGTCTCTCTAGGGGCATCACAGTCTGAATCACATAGTAGGTGCTTTGGAACAGGGGGTGAAAAGGACAGCCCTATTATTGCATTTCCTCAGCTTGGGATGGTGTCTGTGCCCATCTGTACTTCCACGGACACACACACACACAGAAAGGAGCATGATGGGCTGCTTTCTTGCCTTTACAACCAGGCGAGGCAAACACAGTGTAGAGAAACCACACTTCTCCGGCAAAGGCACATCTGAGTACCTGCTAGACACTGTGAGCCACCGTCAGCATCATGCAGAAAGACGCAGTCTGTCCCTGCCTTCGGGAAGCCTTCTTCTTAGGGTGGAGGTGGATTCCTCTTTTAAAAAACACGACAGCAGGAAGGGAGGGGGGAATGAGGAGCTGATACCAAGAGCTCAAGTAGAAAGCAAATGTTTTGAGAACAATGAAAGCAACAAATGTACAAATGTGCTTGACACAATGGATGGATGAATTGTGGTAAGAATTGTATGAGCCCCCAATAAAATTATTTTTAAAAAACCACACAGGGGCACACACACAAATGGTGAACTGACACTCTTGCGGGCTCTGAGAAGGTATAAAGTGTAAGGAGAGATGTGCTAGGGGGTGGGGTTGGACGTAGGCAGGATTTTCGGGAGGAAAGTCCCCAAGCCTCAAATGGGATGAAGCACTAACCAGGCCAGTTCTCCCCTGCTCTTGGGAACCATCTCAGGTAAACCATCCCTGATCCAGAAAGACTGGGTGTCCCTTCCTGCCAGGCCTTTCCCTCTGGTCTCCTATGGTTAACACTGTGACTCTCAGGAGCACACAACTCTTACTGTTCGTTGTCCATCTCCTGACTGGAGCCCTGGTGGTTATGAGTTGGGCTCCTAGCTTCAAAATCAGCAGTTTGAACCCTCTAGCCAGCTCCAGGGGAGAAAAACGAGGCTTTCTGCTCCTGTAAAGATTTGGAGACCCATGGGGCAGTAATGCTGTTTTGCCCTAGAGGGTCTGAGAGTCAGAATTGACTGGGCCGATGGCAGAGAGTGTGATCACCTGACTGGACTGTGAGCCGTGGGTGGGGGTGGGCAGGGATGGCGGTCTGTTCCTGGCCCCAGGGAGGAGGGAGCAGCAGCATTCTCAAAGCCTTTACTCTCCTGTGAGGGGGAGGTGTTCTGAAGGAAGCAGCTGGGGGGAGGGGGGTCTCCTCCAGTCATAATCTTCAGGGGGCCCCATCTCCCCTGACCTGGCCAATCCCGAACAGGTCTCTGTGATAAAGAACCCCAGCTCTGAGGCATTTGGGGGGGAAAGGAGATGGCCATTTGTTACTCCGGGTCACGGCTCCGTTGCTCCGGGAGGCAAACACGAGCTGGCACTTGGGGAGATAGCAAAACACGAGGGCAGGGGGAGACGTCAGCCGCTTAAATGAAAAACAAACACCAAAAGCCAAAAAGGGCCAGTCTAAGAGCAGCTTTCAGGGAGGCTGCGCCCAAAGGGTTACCTCGGGCCTCGACCCACCTCCTTCCCTCCCGGGGCCTGGCGCATTGAAGGCGGTGCAGGGCTCAAAAAAGTCTCTTTGGACAAAACCTAGCCTCCAGTTATCTACTGCGGAGGCGGGAAAACTTGATTTTTGCAACCAAGAGTTGCAGCTGGACGCTAGAAAGACGCTGGGGGCCGATGGCAACTGCGGCATCCTTGAGTGGCGGCAGGGCGAGGGGTTCTAGGAGCGTCGGCCCAGCGCGTCCCCAAGGTAGTTCTCAGCAGGCGCGCGCCTCGCGGTACGAACTCCCCGCGGGGGCCCGACTTCCAGGCGCGCGTGCGCAAAAAGCCCACCCGCCTTCGTCCTGTTCCAGGTGCGCTCCCGCTTCCGGGCGGCCTTCACCCCACTCCCTTCTCAGGGCGGAAACTCCACGACCTGCGCATGCGTCTCTGGGCTCGCCTGCTAGGTCGGGAGAGGAGGCCCTTGGCTTCAGGTGATCCCGCCCCTCCCTGGCAGGCTGGACCAATCACACTGCGGTAGGTGAAATTTTTCGCGAAGGCGGCCCGCCCACACGCGGGGCGAGGCGTGCGCCGATTGGTTGGCGCCGCAGGCGCAGGTGCGCGCTTCCTATTGGGTGTGGGCGGAG